ATAATTTTTGATTCACCCAAGTGTATATAATGATTGAATAATTTTTGGGACATTTATTAGCTAATAACATGCTAGAAAAGCCATTATTAGTGATTTGCTTTGCTAAACAGCTGCTCGCTCTGCTATTGGTAGTGGTATTCTTGAGATTTGAAACGCAAACCGGTGTTAAAAAGCCGAAGAACTTTTTCTGCCTTATTGGGTTTCATATGAAAAGCATCAGTCGAACGTACATCTAGCCCGATTCACTTCATAAAGAGTATGGCTAAATTTGCGCTAAGCCTGTATAACAATCAGACACAAATCTGCCCGACGCAGCGCGCAGAGTGTACCTGACATTGACTACCCGCAAAAAACTGTCGTAATTGTTTTTGCAGTAATTACTAAAGTATTTTTGTACTTGAATTGAAAATCTCTCAATTAACGATTGCAGGTGGGTTTCAAACCAGCTGGCGGAATCAAAACTCCCAAGGAAGCCCTCGCTTACGTAGCTCTTGTAAAAGATGTGGGTTTTGAGCTTTCTGTGATGTCAGTTCGTGATGAAGTTGTAACTTTACAGATCTTGGGCGATTCTTGGCTCACTCCAAAGCTCTTCAGAATTGGTGCCAGCAGTTTACTCGACAACTGTTTGAAAGCTCTTTAGGTCCCATCTGTTTATAGATGAAGATTGTTTTTGTTTGTGATAAGTACAGCATTCCTGGTGCTGCAGTAGTGCTCAATGACTAACTCCTGCATGTGCCGTGATCCATGCTTTTCATTCACTTCATGATAGCCGGTAAATGGTTGTTTCCGCATTCAGGTGCATATGTTTTTATGCTCGAATTTTTATCTAGTTTGATACGATAACGGCTAGTTTTAGAAGCATTCTAGAATAAAGATTTTCTCACATGTATTTTTATCATGCATGGGTCGACATATAATCCAATGCATATTTACACAGATTTCTCTGCCTCCTGTCTATCCCTCTTTTTGTGGAGAGGTCTGGGGTTGAAAAAATCTTATTTTGCCTGCTTCTCAAAATCTGCTCCCTTCCGCGGCATTTCAAGTTACACTACCCACATGTACTCAGTAGTACTTTGCACAATTTTCCGATGTATTGTTCATGGTTGTGCCTCGTTTGGGTTTAGATTGATCTAGCAAGAGTCACTCCAGATTTGTAGAGATCATCTTTTCGGAGCGAAATGCCTCGGTTTGTGATAGGACATATGATCAGCTCCCAGGAGTAGCGGACGGCGCATTTCAGACGTTTGCGTACACGCGAGGCAGTTTTTTTTATCAGCTATACGATACTAAAAAAAAACAGTGCTCTAGAGTGGAGGTTCAAGATGCAGTTCATCGTGTTTGAATGCCTGCAGTGCTTCGCCTGCTATACTTCTGGCACTTTCCCAACCCGAGCGGCTCGTATCTCAGCGACCGCCTCGCTTGGGCTGTGCACTTCTTTCACAAACATGCATGCGCTCTAATACTTTCCCACGCTAAAGTAGCGAAAGCTGTTCTTCCCGGTGATTGAGAGCGTATTCGGGAAAGAGGTGTAGAGCCCAACCGAAGCGGTCACGAGAGATTCGAGCGCTCGGGTTGGGCTTACTACGAATGGATCAGAGAGAAGTTGCCTATATCTTGACTACTACTCCTTATCTTTGGATGATGATTTTTCAACCTCTAACTAACGCCAGCAATCAAAAATAAAATAGACATTGATCAGATCGTGATATGCGCTACATATGCGGGCGCAAAGCATTGCTCAAAAGCAGCGGCTCGGCAGATTCTCAACTTGAAGTTCTTTCGCTTGCCTTGGATAAGTCGAGGCGCTGATTCCGAAAATCCACCTTGAAGAGCGCGAAAATGGCAGAAACCACCATTTCTCAAGGCATCCCATTTTGAATTTGGATGAGTGGGGCACGTCCCACCATGGTTAGAGAGGGGGTAGGGTAGGGGAACGAAGGCCGCCAATCTGGGCCGCCTCCGCGAACTATTGGTCCTGGAACGACATGCAACAACTCAAAAAAAAAGACTCATACTTGTGCGTATGAAATAAACAAATAAATAAAAGGACCAGTTGGCCGCGAAACGCGACTCAAACTGGCGGCCGTCGTTCTCCTATGTACCTCTTATAGAGGCAGAATGCCTAGCAGTTATAACATTGCGGCATGCCTTCTCTGACGGGTCAGTGAGAATCGCAAGCTCGTCCGCGCGTATTACAGGGCTTTTCAACATAAGAGTCAGAGCCTCCGTTTGCGCGGCTCCTCCAACGCGGCCGCCTCGCTCAGGCCGCGCGCGGCGTTTGCTGCGCATCGCCCGGATTTCGCCAAGCTTCAGTCGACGCGCAGCCTGGTGCCACGAACGCTGCGCGGACCCAAGCGTGGCGGCCGAGCGGGGCGGTTGTGACACTCAGGTTGTAAAGCCCTGTAAAATGGCTTTCGCTTAACGGATTTAAGGGCAGTTTTCTAGGCAAGGGCAGCATGCTGTGCGCTTGGACCTGCTCTTTTCTCATGTTTGGGGTGCAAGCAACCTTCCATGTCGAAATTTCGGGATGTTCGGTCTTGGCGAGCTGCTGCCTTTGAGAGGTTGAAGATATACAGGGTGTCCGTAAAGTATGAATACACTGTTTGATCGTTAATATCTTTCTTCCCAACAAGCTTTTTGCCTTGCTTCAGGTACTGTTTTGTAGAGCTGGCTTCTTTGCAATATAGAACGAATCATCCATCTCTCTTCATTACTGTAGGATTACGATGAAACTTCAAAGAGGGTTTTGAGCAAAGAAAGACCATATTTTGCCCTAGAAAGGAAACCAAACAGCCTTAAAGCTTTCACATTAGGCTAACAAGAGTTGCTGATTCTAACTGTAAAGTTCCCAACTTATTATAATGCTTCTTTGAAGAATTATGCCGGGTAAGAGATAGCGGCCATTTTTTCAATGTTCCTAAAAAGTGCAGTTACACCGTTGAAAAAGATTCGCAATCTTTTGAATAGTTGAGTATGAACTCAGCGTCCATAAAAACCCTATCCCACAAGTTTTCACTTTTTTTTGAAAATTTTTGAGACGGCAGCTTTTTCTATATTGACAACATATGTTTCGAGTTTCTACCATAATCCTACAGTAATGAAGAGCAATCGGTGATTCGCTCCATACTGTAAATCTAAGTTGAACCCAGCTCTACAAAATAGTACCTGAAGTAAGGCGAAAGACTTGTTGGGAAGAAAGATATTAACGATCAAACAGTTTTCATACTTTACGGACACCCTGTATATAACAGGCATGTCCTAACACAATCATTTGTAGCAAATCATAAGCGTGGCAATACCAAGGCGGTGCAGATCAGGTCAGATCTGGTTTGGGAGAGACTGTAAGGTAGGCGCCAGAAATCCGATCAAACCAGTTCATCCGGTTCAGCCCATTCGTATTGGTCTAGTCACTGAATTGACCAACAATGAATGAGAGAACCGGATGAAGTGGTTGAACTGATAGGCTGGGTTCATACTGTAAGTTCAGTTCCAGAACAGCGCTCGAAATGTGCGCTGTGCTGGAAAGGTTCCGGAACTGCGGATCAGTGAACCCAGCTATAAGTATAGCGCCTATCTAAGGCACACGCCGAGTTTGATCCACTTGATTCTCTTCATCCAGATCCACTTCGCTATTGGTCAAAGCAATGAACTGATCAGCAGCTAAGTGGATGAAGTGGATTTAGTTAACATCCGCTTTGCTAATGGTCAGTTCACTAACTAAATCAGTAGCGAAATGGACAAGCGGATCAGGTATGGCACATGCTCAATGTCACAGCTTGATGCAATCACACCACCATGCGCGAAGTAGTCTGCAAGCATTCCATTGTATTGCAACGCCACAAAATATGGACGGGGCAACGAGAGCAAAAACGCGCTAGGAACTTAATACGGTGAGGCTCACCAGTGAAAGAAATGGTGCCCCACCCCCTCTCCATCCCCGGTTGCGAAGAAGCTTTTTAACTAGCACAGGCCGTATATCGCAACGGTGCTGTCACTGTGCGGGATCGCCGTTACACAGTGTGTATCCCGCCTTTACCTGTAAAAATTCAAAAATCATCTGGAATTAGTGTATCGTCGCAAAATTTGGTGCAATACTTGTTATCGCTTACTTTGGTCAATAGTCATAAAGTCAAAGTGATTACTGGTGATATGAATTTCAGAGATTGGATGCGTGTTACGTTCCTCCATCCCGATCTGGGTATAGGTGGAGCCGAGCGCTTGGTCGTTGATGCCGCTGTCGCACTTCAGCAAAAAGGACATACTGTGAAAGTCGTGACAAGCCAGTTTGATCCATCACATGCTTTCAAGGAAACGCAGCAGTTAGGTATGTTGGCTGAAGTGTTACAATATCCAAAGGCTGGATAAAGGGTATCCGTCAGATATCAAAGTGATACAGTGGTTTCCTCGATTGATATTTGGTCGCATGTGGGCTTTATGTGCTTATATCAGAATGTGCCTTGCTGCAATATATACTGCTATGTTTATTCCAAGTGATGTGATTATTTGCGACCAGGTATGTCACTTTTGATACATTAATTGTTGCTGCTCCAGCTCGCAAATTATTTTCTAAATTTTGTAGGTATCGGCTGCTCTCCTTGTTCTGCGAGTGCTTACTCGGGCTCGGCTCGTTTTCTACTGTCATTTTCCAGATTTGTTGCTTACGTCTAGGGAAACTGTGGCAAAATCCTTCTACAGGTTCGCATTTTGAGCTATTCCACTCGAACACCTTGAAGGCAATGTCCGGGCAAGAAGGGGATTTTGGGATTTCAGTGCCATGCGAGAGTGGCCCCTCTTAGACACAATATCGCGCAAGTGCGACATCATAGCGCTCGACCTAAAGCAAGAAAAATGACCGGAAAGTGGGGGAACTTACGCCTTGGGGCGGCTCCTTCGAGCCGTCCGAATTCCTGCTATGCGGCTGAGTACGCATGCGGCCACGACGAATTCGAAACGCACAAGCGTACCCTGATCGGCAAAGCGGCAGCGACGCGCAGTTTTCTCCGCCGAGCGCGACAGCGAGCACGAACTTGGTTTTTTTTACGTTTTCTGAAGTGGCTCCGGGTCAGGAGTCACGCCGCATGCTGCAATAACGCCGCGAAGCGACGTTTGCCCGTTGAAAAACTTTTCGCTCTTCGCAAAATCGCCGCGCGCGGTGTGACTCCTGACCCGCAGCCTTCTGAAGTTTCAGCCGCCGATCTTTGTACGCTTGTGTTTTCCCAATTCGCATTCGACAAGGCTTTCCAGACTCGATCAGCAACAAGCACTATTGTCACAAAGTGGAGCAATCACAACTTTGTAATGTTGGTTCTAAAATTTTCGGGTACAGTAATGCACACATAGATATGCTCTTGTGATTTCGTCCGCGAACCTCCAAGAAGCTTCCTCCCAGTCTGAAATTTCTCCGAAATATTACGCAGTGGAGAAGCATCGTTACATCTGAGGCTCAAACGCCCCTAACGGATTTGTTCACGACAACATGTTACCTTTATTGATTTTTAAAAAGGACGCGCAGACTGAAAAAAGACACTGAATTGCGAAGTGCTTGCCTCTATCCGCCGGTCAGCAAATTATGTTTGCGGTCTTAATAAGAATGAGAATTAGTTAAAGTTGTACATGATGAAAACGTCGGGTTGAGCCTCAGTGAGTGACTTCGAGGAGCAACCAAACCGAGAACATAATGCTAAAAAGAAAAAGGAGAAATATTTATGGTGGTTTGTTTCTTTGCAAATCCACCCCTACCGCGTCTCGCAATGTCCTTTAGCATCAAATAATTTTTAATCGTCACAGTGAGCAGCCTATGTAAGCAAAAACTGGAAAAGAAAGTTGAAAACTACCTTCCACGTTACCTACTGTACCCCAAGCTAAAGCAGTTATGTATATACAAAGGCGTGCCATGTCGAAGTAGCTAAATGGTAACCTTCAGAAGTAGTCCACTCTGAACAGAGACCTGATGCGAATATTTCGGTGAACTTCTGCGGAGGCCTTCAAGCACAACCGCCGCGATTCTTGTTTCACGGATGATGAGCGGCAATTCAGTAACTTCACACCCCAGTAGCTGATCTGACTTCATCATAAAGATCCTTACAGTTTCAAGCCTCGAAGTACATATTTTGCACAATTTATATTTGTAGTAGTGCAGGACCACAATTGGTTTCTAACGAATTCCAGCTTTTGGTGAAGACTACACCCAAAAACCAATTCGAACTTTTCTGCTTTCTACACTTACAAACAGGTGAGACCAGAATTGGCAATAAGTTTGCAAAAAAGCCGTAACTTCATCAATAACGCTATCGATAGATATCCTTTTCGCTTCTTGGTAATGTTAACTGAGTCTATAAATTAAGGCTGAAAAGGATATCATCGGCTCCCAGATTCGTGTGGAAGTGGAGTCTTGCCAACTCGCTGCGTGGCGGTTTTTGCTAGTGAGAGAGTACGAAAAGCAATGCTATGACGTGGAGGTTTAGTAAATTTACTTGTGTTATCAGGCAAGGCAAAGTCTGCAATACACCTCCACACGAATCTGGGAGCCGATCATACTTTATCGATGAACAATCAGCATGTATAGATAACTCCTTCAAGCGTTTTACTTTTCTTTCCACCCTTGTCGTACACCTACTTGACTTTACTGATATCACTTTATTGTGGAACATCACCGGTACGCTAAACACAAATAATGCATGCAAAGAAATTACAAAAAAGCAAGCGCTCCAGTTCTGCCTTTCATACATGCTCCAATAATCGTGCGCTTGAAAGTCGGGACGAACTCGAAGCAGAAAAGCGTACAAAGATCGGCGTCTGAAACTTCAACGTAAAAAAAAACTAAGTTCGTGCTCGCTGTCGCGCTCGGCGGAGAAAACTGCGCGTCGCTGCCGCGTCGCCGATCAGGGTACGCTTGTGTGTTTCGAATTCGTCTGCGGCCACAGTTAAAATGTAGGGTCCCGTGGCGACTCTGCGTCTCTGCCTTGGCGGGGACCGTCGAATTTCAAATTGTGCGGCTTTGGAAGACGTATATTCTCGCCGTTTTCGCGCGTTCTCATGTGGATTTTTGGATTCAGCGTTGCGGATAACCCCCGGTAAGTGCATTTTCTAGAAATCGCGTTTCTGCCCGGACACTGCTTCAACCGTTCTTCGGCACACTAAACACACATACTGCAGCGCAGACTCGTAATCGTTCGAAATATTAGGCTTAAAGACACCGTCCACCCAAAATGGAGGTTGGCGAGATTATGATGGTATACTAGTGTGGGCCCCCACACTAGGCAAAACCCCAAGCTTCGCCGCAAAAGACTGCTTCTGGCCACTTGCATGCTTTATCCCGCCTGCGCATGTTCCAGAGGGTTCTCGAAACAGGGATTTTTGGGAGTTTCGCGGATTTTCGACTCCGTATTCGGAATCAGGGCTTTCAGAAGGTCTGAAGGCGACAAAAACATTGAAGTCGAGATTTTGGGTGGACGGTGCCTTTAAGGCAGTGCGCTTGCCAAAGGATCACAGATATACAGTTCGAGGTTGGACATATGGTGCCGAATCACGTCAGGCCACACCCTGTGAATATTGCAGTAGTGACGGCTGTGGCGCAGCCTGGACCAAGCTGCAGCTACGCAGACGCCAGACTTACCCGCTTCATCCGATCCAGACACTTCGGTACTGGTTAGGTCGTTGATTTGACCAATAGCGAAGTGGGTGAAGCGGCTAAGTGGATAAGTCTGGCGTCTCTCGCGAACCCAAAGCTCGCTCCGCTTGTTGCATCCGCCCACTCTAATTCGGATTTGATTGCAGTTTAGCAAACCGACCGTTATTTTAGCATTTCAGATATTTTCTGGATTCTATCGAAGAGTATACAACTGGTCTTGCTGGTACAATATGTGTGAATAGTTTATTTACCGCTTCCGTATTCAAGCAGACGTTCAGATCTCTCCAAAACCGAGAACTAACTGGTTTGTTGCTCCCTACATTTCACAGACGAATGTACATAGACGATAGAAAGGATGCGAAACTAAATTTGTGACATTGTTGGCACGCGCCATACTCAATTTGAAGTACCTGGTCCACTTCATCAATTTCCCTATTGGTCAAATGCGTGAACTGGCCAGTAGCGAAGCGAATGTCCACTTGATCCTCTCGACCCACTTGATTCACTTATTGGTGCGTTCGCTGATCTGATCATTAGCAAAGAGGATGAAGTGGATCATGCGGATAAAGTGGCAGGTATGGCATGTGCTTCTAAGAAAAAACTTGAAGAATTGGGTTGTCATCTGTATCAATTCACATAAATCCTTTTGCAAAACCGTATTTCGCATTCTCCATGATGTCTTGTTCAGTACTTTATCCGTCGCTGAATACGGACTTCTTTGACAAGACAGAAGAATGTACCATACCGGAGATTCCGCCATCTGCCGAACATTTGTTTACCTCACTAAATCGCTATGAAGTGAAGAAGAACTTGAAACTTGCTATCGAGGCTTTCGGTAAGTTTAGCTTCTAGACTTATGGCACTTATACTGCTTTGGATTAAATATGGTCATGTTACAGCAGTCTTACGCACGTTACTAACAGATGACGAGTTTTCCAAATGTCACCTTGTTTTGGCAGGCGGTTACGATCGACTGAATTCCGAAAATAAAAATCATTTCAAGGAGTTGGTTGAATATACAAATTTGCTTTCGCTGCCTCAGAATCAAGTGACACTCCTACGTTCTCCCTGTGAGTTACTTGTCACTTAGTTCCTCAGAAATTTGTAATTCACTCTATGCAGAACTTCGAGAGCTATCGCTAGATGATTTTGAGCACGTATGATTATCATCTCAGATGTTCAAAATGAGAAATTTTCTGCTTTGGGGTCAGAAAAATTACACAGCATTACTCTTGCAGAACTGATTCTAATTCATGTTGCTGAGCTAAGAAGAGCATTACTCTTGCAAAACTGATTCTAATTCATGTTGCTTTCTAGCTACAGAACCGTGCGAGCTCAGCACGAAGAGGTGAAGGGGGGGGGGACTTTCTATCTGAACAACTAGATTTAAAGGCAGTGGCTTGGCAGAATGACAACTTTGGGATATTCGTCATTCTCGGTTCCCCTGGATGAGCTAAGTCCAAGACATGCTTTGCAGCTTCAAAAATCAATAACCCGCCTTTCCAGACGTGAAAAGCGCTATTTGAGGGCGGACCGCGTATCTGCCCTCTAGAGCGCGATTGGCTCGTGAGTGGAGATACTGTACCCACCGTACCCACGAGCCAATCGCGCTCTAGAGGGCGGATACGGGTCCGCCCTCAAATCTGGAAAAGAGGTTATTGATATCTTTTGAAGCTGCAAAGCACAGTCTTGGACTCAGCTCAATCAGGAGAAACGATAATGATGAATATCCCAAAGTTGTCATTCTGCCGAGCCGCTGCCTTCAAAAGTATGTTCCAAGAAATGGGTGGTGTGCAGGATGCGGTGAAGGTAATATGTCACTGATCATTCATTACAGACGACAACAAAAAGTCAAGCATACCACTGTAGATACAGTTGCTCATGAGACTGTTTACTTTGTCGCATTTATAGGTATTAGACTTCATTGCTCACGATTTCAGCTGACGAAGAGAAGATCACTTTGTTACGACGAAGCCTTGCTGTGTTGTATACACCACATAACGAGCACTTTGGCATAGTACCCATTGAAGCTATGTATGTAGGAACACCTGTGATTGCAGTGAATTCGGGAGGTAACACAAAAATATGTTGTTGTATAATATGATTTATCTATTCATATCAGTTTATCTCTCAAAAAGGGAACGTTGCTTTGGGTCAGTCACATGCCGTAAGATATAATATACAAATATATACGACCCATTCTTTCCCAGTGCCATCAACTAGTGTTATTCGCATTTATGTACAGGTCATTTTTAAAATCATTTGACTGCGGTCTTTGCCCCAACAGCAGCATAAAATACTTATACAAAAAGGCATCACCTCAAAGCTTAACTCAGTCACTTCCAGTCTGTAAATACTATCATATGTGAGCAGAAAAACTATTCAAGTAGCGATGAAAACCAAGAAAATGCGGTTCCCAGAAGACGCGTGCGTGTTGCGTAAGAAGTCGCAATCTGCGCTCTGTCGGTACACTGAGACGATGCCGTTCCATATCAGATTATTTATGCAAAATTGTGCTAAACTGTTCGATGCAGTTTGGAGGAGTAACTTTGCGAATTCACATACATCTACTCAAAAGAAGTAGTATGAAAGCGTGCAAAGACATCGTGAGACAAATTACTCTTCAGCATACTCATATGTAAACACCATCATCCTTATGGATATATTTATAGAAATGCTTTGAAGCGCTAAATAGCAGGCTTAAATGCAACTGGTTACGGGCTTTGACATTCTCTTGAATATGAAAGATTACGCTGATGCCGCGGCGTTCCAAAAGATAGGGCACACGCTTTTGTACGACATCCAGCTTTACTGTATGCTTCCCAGCTTTCTTTGCACTTTCTCATCTTTTTATTCCAACGATAGCATGATGTCTAAAGACTGGCGGCGCGGGGCAGTGCAATTATTCGATATGCTGTTGTGTGCCGCAGCTTTTTGTGCACAGCAGTTTTTGCTTCACCTGTTGCTAAGTTGAAGTAAAATCGCCGCACGCACATGAGTGCTTCACCGCTCGTTGAAAAGAGTTGACTTTAACGCCCCTCACTGGTTAGTTTAATTAGAGCTGCTAGGAAAAAGTGATAAAGGAAACATGCCCGACAAAAAGTTGTTTTGCGCCGAGATGCAAGTTGCTTTTTCAAGGTCGCATCTTTTTTACTCCAACGTGATCTTTAGCGAACTTCTGCAACGCGGAAGTGTGAGCTGAGAATATCGTTGTAGGTCCAAAGGAGTCCATCGTCCACTTGGAAACTGGACTTTTAGCAGAGCAAACTGCAGAAGCTTTTGCAGAACATATGGCCATGCTTCTACATGATGAATCACTGCGGAAGAAGCTCTCTGAAATGGTGACTATCAATTCACTGATCAACTTTTTCTCATTACTCCACTATCTTCTACAGGGACCAAAGCGAGTACGACAACTCTTTGCTTTTGAAGCTTTCGCCAATCATCTGGACCAAATAGTCAAAGGAGATCAATAAGAATTGTTTTGCCTAGTCTGTTTGTTAAATTTTTTTTGTTAATGTTTGTGGATCTTTGTTTTGTTTCGTGCAAGGCTAATAAGAGTTCTTATTTACGCGCCTCAGAAAGTTGGATGCAATGGACCAATCACGCTAACATCGTCACGGTCACTGGTTTGAAAACAGAATCGATTTCTGATCGGTCCAGCGTCAAAATGCACTGAATTTGCCCTTGTAGGCCAAACATTGGATGGCATCGGCGCTGTTTTCGCAGTGGTAGTTCCGCCGTAGTATTCTGCCTCAGTCTCTCACCGTGTCATATTTCGAAACTCTTCAACTCAGCAATAATTAAGTGCTGTATCAGTAAATAGATGTTGTTTCCTGCTGTGAGTGCTAGGAATGTCTTACTCGCATATCTGATCACCTTAAATGTTCTACCAATCACGACAATTCATTGCGTCTCCGATGAGATGAATCTTGGCTCGCTTGCAGGGACCGCTCATTTTGCGTAGAAGGTTGCGGCAATATCGGCAGTTGGTCTGCTCTGTGGTCGTTCAAGGTTAAAGTTTGGCGCGGAGGGCGGGAGAGAGAGTTGAAATTCGGCTATGCAGTTCGTTCGCTGCAGCCGGCTGTGATGGTCTGCTCTCAGTTTTCGCTCTAGGTTCCCCTCTCTCCTCCTGTCGCAGTGTTCACTCAAATGTACTTTACTTCCGTGTGTTGAAAGTGGTTATTGGCCAATCGATCATCCAGTGCGGGTGCTCCCGCCATCTGTGGGTAATACAAAACTAAATGTAGTAGGAACTGTCCAGCAAACAAGTTGTAGTGGTACTGGTGGCAATTAGAGAGCGCAACTCCATATTAAAGTAGATGAAGCCATGGCAACGCTGCAACCTTCGCGAAATCAAAAGAGAAGTGAACTACTCATCTTATGTATCGTGCAAAAATGTTGCCGGTAAGTTCTTGCTCTCGTTTTTCAACAAAAGCTATGAAGAGGTGCATCCTTATCATATCGGGCATGTTGTCCCCAAGTGCTTACGATAGCGCCATGCCATAAATTTTGGTGCTCCACGGAGGATGTTTCGCCGAACCCGCTCTCGAACACAAGACAAATCATATTCCGACGCACCGGAGGTCCCAATTTCAGTTTGAGGTGTAATTGCTGCCCAGTGTGTTGGTCAGTAGGTGTGCAGATCAATTTCAACCTCAATTACTGTGTAAAGTGCAAATGCTGCAGTCGAATCAATGCCTTTCCTCATTGTGAATACTTGTTGCGTCCTACGAACCCTTTCACATTTGTACTGTAATTCTGTGCTGGAGTGGAGTTAATTGGATCATCTTACAGATGTCGAAGGCATACATTGGTAAACCGGCTCCCGAGTTCACCACGAAAGCGGTGGTTGACGGTGACTTTGTCGACGTGAGCCTTCACGACTTCAAGGGGAAATATGTGGTGCTTTTCTTCTATCCTATGGACTTGTAAGGCTTGTTTATTCTATCAGATTTTTCTTCTGCCATACTATTATCAAGAAATAGAGCGCTAAAAAATTCCAGAAATTTTTACGATGAGTGATGCCTACTCATCGGCAATTCAAGAGAGCGAAAGCCCGTAACCATTTCCCTATTAGTACATAAGGAATAGCTCAAATAAACAAGAATCCTTTCAGGACTAATGAATTGCAAGAGTGCGCGCTCAAAACGTTTTAAAAAGTACGAAACCGTAGTAGGGCTATAGACCATATCAAGAAAGCGCGACCTGTCCGCGATGCATTTTTTTTCGAACGCACCGCAATCGCAGGCGTTTGTCATAACTTTGGAATCTTTATGAGAGGTAGAGATTAACAAAGAATACTTGCGGTTTAATAAGTCATTGAAATGCAAAGGTAGTTGTACAGGAAAATCATGTTTGGGTCAATTCAGACAGTCTTGAAAACATTTCTTTCAACTCAAGTTACGCTCGGTGTCCCAAAAAGTAGGGAAGAAATGCGCAAATCGATATCAGCTTATCAGCTCCTCTATCATACGAGTCTACAGTATCTTTTTTGTTATAGTTTTTCACAACACAGGCTCGAAAGTGCAACATTTGTTGCAGCTTTTTGTTGTACTTGCATGCTCATCCATTCATTGACCATTTAGCACGTTCGTCTGCCCAACGGAAATCATCGCCTTCTCCGACAAGGTCGGCGAGTTCAAGAACATCAACACCGCTGTGCTAGCCTGCTCCACTGATTCCGTATTCTCGCATCTGGCTTGGATCAACACCGTATGTCCTGTTTAGAAGTATAAGGGATCCGTTCGCCGAAAAAAGCCTAAAAGCGCCTAAAAACCCGAAAAAACCCCAAAAAAGCCGAAAAAAGCCCAAGCGCCAGAAAGAGGCGGAACGCCCCTCCCGTTTTGATGCTAAGGCATGGTGCTGATTTCGCAACCGAGTCTTTTTGCTTCATTTTCTGTCGTCTACACATTAAAATAACGTCATCTACCATAATTTCGTTTCTGCGCTCCGGGTCTTTCGGCCTTTTTGGGTTTTTTCGGGCTTTTTTCGGCTTTTTTGGGTTTTCGGGCTTTTTTTTTTAGCGGTTTGGGCTTTTTTCGGCGAAGTATGACGGGCCCCTAAGACAATCACAAATCTTTTACGGCAGCAGTTGCGTGCGTCGTCCTTCACAACTGAATCTTTTTGGGGCTCGTGTAATTAGAATGCTTTACTTCAGTATATTAGCTTTATACAATATCGATGCTAAGCAGGTGGTTACTCATTGTAGCGTGTTTGGTATTTTTTGACGATGAGCTGGTGTGAAGGTCGCCATCGGAATCCTTTTTACGATTGCCCCATAAATTCATTCATTGTTGAGTATTTTGTCAATTTCAGCCACGGAAGCATGGTGGATTAGGAGAAATGAAAATCCCTGTTCTGGCCGACACAAATCACCAGATTTCTAAGGACTACGGCGTTTTGAAGGAGGATGAAGGAATCGCTTATCGAGGTATGATTATATCTTTTTTTCTGGAATAGTATAAGCACGAATTTTTTTTAGAAGAACAGTAGACTTGACGTCTGTTGCTCAATTTCGCGTATCTGTCTTTGCTATGCTTCCATCATATCTCTTTTAGGACTTTTCATTATCGACCCGAAAGGAATTCTACGACAAATTACCATCAATGATCTCCCGGTAGGCCGTTCAGTAGAGGAGACTCTCCGCCTTGTGCAGGCTTTCCAGTACACTGACAAAGTACGGTTGATGTCCACAAGTCGACGTTTCTATGTAGTCTCTGTTTCAGCACGGCGAAGTCTGCCCCGCTGGATGGACTCCAGGAAGTGACACAATCAAACCGAAGGTGAAGGAAAGCCAAGAGTACTTCAGCAAGCACTGAATATGCATGTCCCGGTATATAATATTGGTAGATAGTTGTGATAAATTTGCATGTTGTGCATTTGTTCTACCTTCAATAAATGATATCCATTTTATTTATGGATTTGGCATAAAAATGATCGGAAACTGAGTAAGATCTGACAGTCGGGCAGGTCGTAGTCATTGCAATTGTGAACATCGTCAAGCTTGAGATTGTCAATTTATCGAACACAGGATTTCTGCCGTCTGTAGAAATCCTATGTGTGGTAGGATCCACTGCTCTGATTGTAAAACATTCTATCATAAAAAATTTGGAGAAGACTTCATAGGAAATTGACTGAGCAGATCTTGTTGAAACCCGGGATGGCATGAAATTGTTTCTTGCACGAAGGCGAGGGACCTCAGTATCAGTACCTAGCACAGTGTAGAGAACTGATTATATACAACTTTACCAATGGGTGACAACTCTTCGGACTTCTGACTCTTTACGCCTTTGGGGCGAACCCTTCGGGGGAGATGAAATGGGTGTATTTCTTCCTGTGTACGATTCCGCTGAGAAGGGAAGTAGCGCCGGTTTGGAAGGAGCCGCACGGTCCGAGCGTGCGGACTACAGTGACTGTACCGAAGAAGTTCATACGGATATATAAAGTGCGAACAATGGCCCAGACGAACCAACCTTCACGATCAAGCAAAGACCTGTAATTCCTCGTTGAGCAGCTCGTTTTCTGTCTTTGAGGCACATTAACAGGCAACCACCAAGGTCGAATGTTTCGGAAAAGAAACGCCGGAGGCAGCTTGATGTGCTCCGTGGCGGTGCCCTGGCGAGGTTTGGTCCAATAACGTTACCCCCCATAGGAAGAAAATGGGTTTGAAACCAGCTCGTGTAGTCCTTCTCAGACAATCGACGGGACCCCTCCGCCGGACCCTCCGAAACTGCCAGAGTCGCGCCGGACCCAGTTGACCAATGAGAGAAGGGCAAATGGGCGGTCCATCGCGGTGACATCACTGGCAGGCAAATGGGAGGCTTCTCCGGCCCTGCTGCAAAGGTCCGCCATTTCTCCGGCGCGACTCTGCCAGATTTGGCGGACTCCGCGCCGGAGAAATTTGTGCGGCGCGTGTCCGCCAAATTTGGAAGAGCCGCGCCGGAGAAAATGGGAGGGGTCCGGAGCAGAAATGGGAGGCCTCCGGAGCAGAAAATGGGAGGTATCCGGAGCAGAAATGGGAGGTCTCCGCCGGAGAAATGGGAGGGCTCCGCCGGACAAATGGGAGACCCACCGCTGGGGAAACGCCGCGACCCTGCCATTTCTCCGGCGGAGGGGTCCTATCCGCTGCCTGAGTTTGTCCTCGCGCTGGCACATCTACTCAGACAATGGATCGGACCCCTCCGCTGGGCAAGCCGAAACTGCCAGACTCGCGCCGGACCCAATTGACCAATGAGAGCGGGGCAAATGGGCGGTCCCTCGCGTGACATCACTGCCAGGCAAATGGGAGGCTTCTCCGGCCCTGCTGCAAAGGTCCGCCATTTCTCCGGCGCGACCCTGGCAGATTTGCCAGGCTCGCGCCGGACAAATTTGTCCGGCGCGAGCCTGGCAAATCTGGCGGAGTCGCGCCGGAGAAAATGGGAGGGGTCCGGAGCAGAAATGGGAGGCCTCCGGAGCAGAAATGGGAGGTATCCGGAGCAGAAAATGGGAGGTATCCGGAGCAGAAGATGGGGGGTATCCGGAGCAGAAGATGGGAGGTATCCGCCGGAGAAATGGGAGGTATCCGGAGCAGGCTGCGTATCGATTTGGCGCGTAGCAAGCAAACGTCTAACTCCACGGTGATGAGTCCTCTGTTTACGCTCTTTGTCCATATTTTAGTCGCCGTTTATTTGATTCTGTTGTTTTTGCGCGTTTCTTTACCGTTTTTTCCTTTTCCGCGTTGCTCTTCGTCGCGTTGGCGTTTATGTTGCTGTAAGTTCCTCGTTTTCAGGTTTATGTTTGAAATTTTCGTGCGGTTGCACTCAATCACCTTCAGTGTTTGGCTCTTTCCGACTTGCTGAGACATCGTAGACTATTGATGGAGTGGTTTTTGTGATTAATTCTGGATTTTCGAAACAATGAGGTTAGTTGCGCAACTATCTAGTGTTGTTGTGATGAAAGTATCGTCTAAATAATCCGTTTATTGCTATAGTGTGGACCCCGGCCAGGTTCCCATAGGTACCTCCGCGGCGCGCCCGCAGCGCATGCCTTCAGTGCGCTTTTCGTTTCGGCTCTGAAGGGATTTCTTTCAATTTCCTCTTTCAAGTGTGTTTGTTCTCTTCTGTAATCTCTACTTTAGATGTAAACGACACACGTCAACTGCTGGTGATGGATTTTTACGAGTCTTGACAGTCTTGCAAGCATTTGTTTCAAAAATCTTGTTTTTTTCTCAATAGTGAAGATTTCGGTGTAGTTTAGAGACATCTCTCCAAATGTTCAGAATAAGTGTATATGCAGTTGATTTTGTGGAGTGTAGATGCTTCTAGCCTTTTGTTACACCATCAGAGCTTTGCAATCGTGCTCTTGAGCTCAAACTTTCTGGGTTTTTTTATGAACAGAAGGAAGACTTTTCAGAATTGTTCTTCGACTTTTCCTGTTACTTCTATCATCCATCGCTGGTAGTGTCATACACTACTAGCGATGGATAATAGAAGATTCCAGTTATTTATGAGATTGACTGGAATCTGAGCGCTAGTAGTAGAAGTTGTGAAGGTTCTCCTATTGCCTTGGCTTTTCTCGTGTTCGGATTAGAGGCCTCCACATCTCATTTCACTCCTGTTTTCGGTTATAATGCTTTTTTGTTCGTAAGTGAAATGAGAAGCGTTCAAGTCGGGCGCGCGCTGCGTGTGCGCCGCGCTAGTACCTGAAGCTGGCCGGGGTCCACACTATCTCTCTCGTACGTATGCTTACCAAGTCGATCGACTTTTCATCAGACGTTGCAGATCCTCACTATATCGTTTCTGGCTTGAAAGATAGGACAAGGCAAGAGATATGTTGACAAAAGTCTTGGAGGCAACTCCAAACGATGTTGAAGTTTTGTGACTGTTACTGAAGCATTGTGACTGTTACTGTTGCTTAGTCACATCACATTGCTTCCAGTATTGCTTAGCGAGATTAGGGACTGATAAGGCTAGGTAAGCATGTAAATGTGAAATGTTTGAGTCACATAGCTTCTTCTTTACTGTTTATGTGACTTTCAATTACAATTTGCAGAATCGCTTTTGAACAAGCGTTGGAATTGCAAAATGACAATGTTTGTGCTCTCTCAGCACTTGCCATTTTGGATTACAATACGCATACTGTCGAGGGAGCCCAAAGTGCAGTGGCTTGTCTAGGCCAAGCGTATAGTCTGGAGCCGGAGAATCCGGTTGTCTTGGTCCATCTTGCCAACCACTTCTTCTTCAAAGGAGTCAGTGCAGAAATTCTTTGAATTAATTACGAATTATCTATAAAAGGGACCTTTTAAATTTGTCCAAGCTGTTACATCGAGGTGTTTATCGCTTTATCTGAAGGCATCACTTTTTCAGGAAATGAACAAGGTTGAACGGTTAGCGTGGCATGCAATGAGTATGACGGAAAGTGACGAAATCAAGGCCGAAGCTTGTTACATTCTTGCGCGGTTTTTCCATTTCAACAGAGACTATGAAAAGGCGTTCAAGGTAAGTTGCATATGCAAGAATTTCAATCCATGTCATCATCGTGTCCTAGTACTATTATCAAGCAACTACGTTGAATCATCCTACTTTCGTTTTGCCCCAGTATGGCCTTGGACCTCGGAATTCGAAGATGTTTGGATGAATATAGCTCATGTATATATCGCACTTGGACAATATGTCCCTGCTTTGCAAATGTGAGTTTATGGCGTTCCTCGCTGTTTTGTTTCATGTTGCACAGAATGCTTTTTTGATCTTTTTGTCATTTTCTTACCATGTTAAAACCATATGCTTATACTGTGGTGTTACAAGGTTCTTTTTGCAACTAGGAAATTAGTTTTTCTTTGAATATTCTTATCACTCCTAGTATGGTTTTTGTAATATGAATTAACTGTTGTACGTATGCTGGAGATAGATAGATAGATTTTTCGAAAGTTTGATAAATTTGGAATAAATGTCTTATCTCTTCGTTCTTTCTTCTATCTTCTATCCACAAACGCTAGGGGTGAGAGGGAGGGGGTAGAGTACGGGGTGAGGGTCGCGCTAAACTCCTACCCGGGGGGGGGGGGTCCTATTCGGCTTATTTGAGTGGGGTTTAGAGACAAAATTGGGGTTTGGAGCTTAAAGGCAGCGTCCAGGCAAGTCTGGACCTATGGGGATTTTACATGGAAAGTATTTTGGGGCCCTAACTAAGCCACTACCCAACCGGCAGCTCAAGTAGTGCTCTAACGCCTGAGATATTCTGCTCGAAACCGGACCCCGCGACCGTGTTTCGCATGGATTCATGGCGCAAAGAGTGGATCCTGGCGCGAAACTGCCATGAATCCATGCGAGTACGTTCGCGGGGGTCTGTTTCGAGGGGAATATCTCAGCCATTGGAGCACTACCTGAGCTGCTGCTTCGGCAGTGCCTTAGTTAGGGCCCCAAAAGTACTTTCCATGTAAAAGCCCCATAGGTCCAGATCTGCCTGGAAGCTGCCTTTAATTAGGGCTAATTACAGTATGCCGCGATCGGGGGGCTCCGGCGCACAAAATCGGGGGGCTCCGGAGCAGAAAATGGGAGGTATCCGGAGCAGAAATGGGAGGTCTCCGCCGGAGAAATGGGAGGGCTCCGCCGGACGAATGGGTGACCCACCGCTGGGGAAACGCCGCGACCCTGCCATTTCCCCAGCGGAGGGGTCCGATCCATTGTCTGAGTAGCTATTTACTGACTCAGCGCCTACTAATTGTGTTGAAAGCTAGAGCTCGTTTCCTACCAATAGTTGAATGACAATTAATGTTGAACCATCGGGATGACGTTGAGGCAGGGATCGGCAAAATACTGTGCAGGCAAATGATTTATGGATTATGAAACTACCCACCTGGTACTCGTACAGTTTACGAAGTTCGTGCAGTCGACGAAGTCGCACATTTTGCTCGTCACTTAATCAACCACAGCATGTAG